ATGGTCTGGAAAGGTTGAAATACAAAAAGTACACGCATGAGGTAGTTTTCTCTCCCCCCCCCCCTCCATTGGACTCCTTTGTTTATTTCAGTAACATAGTGACATCACTATATAGCACCCCCACTCTATTTGCTAACGCTCAAACACATTGTACATGATAGGCTATGGGGTGGGTCATTTCCGACTCATCTCTAAGCGGTTGACCAATCACAAAAGAGCCGGTCAGCTAACCAATCAGAGCAGACTGGGCTCTGGTTTCAGACAGAGGGTGAAAAGAGATGCTGCAGCACAGGCATTATGAGAAAAATAAAGAACTTCTGAACATGAAAGCATGGAGTCATGTCACAATAGAGACACAAAATACAAATATGAACCTAACAATGTGCATGTCCTCTTTAAGATTCAATACATATTGCAAAACTATAAACAAGGCATTACATTGTGATTTTAATTTGAAGGAGAGGTGTCATGGCCATTTCCACTGATCATAATTCCATTGTTGAGGTCTACTAGAATAGATTTATATTGTGCAATTTTCCAAACTCACATTGGTTTCTCATACAGCATCTCTGTAAACTACGTGTATTCACTGAATTTCACTCTCTGCCTTTAACGGCTCGTTGTAGCTCCAATAGCTCCAGCCCCCACCCGCCCTGTGAGCACAGTGTGCTCTGATTGGTCGGGACGTTGTGAATCGCGCTGAGCTCCGTGGAGGTGTTGTTTCCTTGTTTAGGATACATAGCGAAACACAGCCAAACTCATCCTGAGCACACACAAAGTCACATCCGAAGTAAAAACAATAAGTGTGGCTTGATATCGAGTAAGAAAAAGGTTGATAAACGCTGTGAGAATGGGTCTGCAGAGAGAATTTCGCCACGATCCCAACTGTCTGTTATCAGCCTGCAGCCAGGGAGGAGGAATCAGCTGAGCTGCCTGCTCCCTGCACACAGATGTGTGTGTGAGGAAGTCCGTGGATTGGTCAATTTGGACCAATCAGCGGGGGCTTAACGTAACGGCTCCGCGGACGTAACGTAACGGCTCCACGGATTGGTCCATTTCGTTCCGGGTACGGGTTGACATCATGCCGTACCCGGAAGAATCAAATGGACAATGACGTATCTCCAACGAGGCGTTTTGGGGAGGTATTTTCTGTGTTAGAGTTTTACTCGCTACAGGGTGTACTTTGAGGGTTTTGACTCTGCACACCGTTTACATGCATAAAAACCTTCATAACACACAAGGGGACGGGTAATAACCCGGAAAAGCATGACACCTCTCCTTTAAAGAGACCATCACCATATAATGAACACTGCCATAAAATCTGTTCAAAATGTGATCAACACTGGGCTCTGGATTTGCATTTATACAGTATGGTCCCTGTAACATCCGCATCATAGCACTATTTTTTGTTCAATCTGAGCAATAGTATTAGGTAAACAAACATTATGCATATACATGCAGACTGTATGTATATATTTTAGTGTTTGTGTTACAGAACAATAAATTGTATTTTCTTACACCCCTAATTCAAATAATGTTTGTTCATTTCAGATGCGAGATACTGTAGATAACAAGATGCTCTGTACCTTAATCCTTGCTGCATGTTGTGCATACTCAGTTATCTTATGTTCTGCAGACCACCTTGACTTTCCCGGTTATTTGTCAATATAATTTGGTGCAGTGCAGGTCCATCTGATCCTTTATGTGGGTGGGAATAATGAAAGGGCAGCTGAATGAAGATAAGGGCAACACACCTGGCTATTAAACAAGTCCGTTTTTAATTACAATAACATAACAACACAATAAGTTCATTTCCATGGACACTGGCGCTCTCTCATTTTACAGAACAAAGCATTTTTCAGTATTTAAAGGGAAGCCTATACTTCCCCCTGTTCAGGCACTCTCAGGGAATTATCTCAGGGTCCTGGTTCTGAAGTGAGTTACCTCAGGGACTCCGGCCTCTAACCTGTCTTCATAAATATGTTTCAAACCCTGCTGTGGAAGCTTGGACATGCAGTGGATAATGCTGCGGTGCAGGAGACTGAAAATACCACAAGCAAACCCCATGTTCCAAACAAGAAGGGAAACATGGCTTTTTTCTTTTTTTGTTTCTATGGAAAAATCAGCACATGTTATCCCATAATATACTACATGGTGTGATGTTAATATAGTACAATTATTGGATGATTTCAGTTTAGGTTCTGACAATAATCAACTTAAACACACAAACAAACAAAAGACAAAAGCTGTAACCAAAATCCATACCATTAATGTATGCCATGTACATCATATTAATTGTCGTATTCAACTGTTTAGGCACTTGGTGTACAAACATTTCAATGAGACGTCAAACTATTTGTTTTTCATGATCTTTTTAGGCCTGTTTACCACCACCTACAATTGACACCATTACACCTATAATTATAACCTTTAAACAGCTCGTTCAGCTGTTAGCAGCTCCTTGATGTTCTTGTGCGTTGAATTGTCGGAGAACAGTGTGCATCAACAGCAGCCTTTACATTTGAAAGTATTCAATCTGCGTTTTCAGTGCTGATAGTATGATTTGTAATTCTTCTAATGTGACCTAATGCTTTTTGTTTTGATTTGAGACATAACTACAGATTCAATCTAACATTAAATGTGGACATGCAGAAGCATAAAATAACACAGTGAAAATAAACTATTATTAGTAATTAGTATATAGCATAAACATACAATTAAATGCACAACATCAAAAGACTAAAAGTTCTTATACTTATAATCATAGTAGGCATGGCCCGCTTTACTAAAATATGATAAGGCTGCTCTCCACGCTGCTATATTACTGACTGACCTGAACGTTGTAACTTTATTTTTTAAATACTAAATACAGTCAGCCTTCTTGGGATTTCATGTCTTCTGGTAAATTGCTCCAAATGTAATCCTGCAGTTGTTTAGATTTGGATCCAGAAGAGCCTTGCCCATTAATTTAGACTAAACCTTGACTATATCTCCAAGAGACCAAAGAGCCTTCACACTGACACCATCTTCCCGTTTCTCTTTTAAATAGAACTCCTTAATTCAAGGTTTTCAAAATGAATTTGAGACTGGTCTTTGGCACACACACATAATGAAAATGCCTTCTCATTAGTATCCCAAAGATCGTTTTTAAGATCCCTTTTAACTAATTACCTTTTCACATTCCTTCCTTCTTCTTGCTGGGCTGTACTTTCTCTTTGTACATGAAATGTATCAAAGGCAATAAGAGGCCAAGGGAAAGTCAAAATAAGACTTCAGGCCAGTTAATGTGTCATGTTTTATACAGATACGTGTGTGGGGTGGCAGTAGTGTTCATCTTGGTGTGTGTCCCAGCCTACAGGTCTGCTGTCTGTGATAATGAAATGCCACATGAAAGGCAAAGAGGCATCCAGAGGGAAAACGGAGCAGTTTTTCATTAGGATCATATTTCTCTGTGTGCACCTTCTCCTCATTTTGTTTAGAGACACATAAAAAGGACAATCCTCATCAAAAAAGTACATTGTATCATTACCAGGAAACACCTTGGCCGTCTGTTTGATGAATCACTGAGCGCCATAGGGATGGGAAATTCAATCCATGCAAGCACAGTTTAGCTGTACAAAAAACGGTGACAATGAAAAAAAGCAACACGACCATCACCAAAATTCTAAAACGACGGTCACTAAAGACATGCATTTTGCTTTATCTTACTTAGGAGCAGAGGGAGCAACAGAAGCCTGCCATGATGCAAGTTATTGCATATAAAGCTTAACTGTTCTAAAAGCTGCTGCTGGCTCCTTTGTTTTGATCAAAGTAAGACGCTACATTTATGCTACCACATTTTGAGGTGTTTAAAATAGGCTGTGTTAGGTGACATGGTGTGTTTCGCAAGTGACCCCTACTAATGGTCTGACATGCTCATCATCTCAGACTGTAAACTGTCTGGGCTCCTGCAGTATCAGGAACACTGAGGCTGTGTGCTTACAGTCTCAAAATGATATTGTTGTATCAGACCTCGGACTGAAATTCAGGTTTTAATGTGTCAAATAATAAGAATGAAGATTAACCAAATTACTATTTTGGCCTACCATCAGCAAACATATATGAATAATGTTGAATCAGAATCAAAACCATGTGTATTGCCAGGTACGTTTACACATACAAGGAACTTGCTTTGGTGTATGGTGGTGCAAGCATACAACATAAGAATATAAGTAAGTAAGAGTAGGTCAAAAATATAATGATAATAAAAATAAAGTATTTTTAAGTAACTATTTAGCATTAAAAAAGGATAAAGACAAGTATGTACACCAAATCTAAAAATACAAAATAACCTTAAAAGCTAAAAAACTAAAAAACGTAGTGACTTATGTGTAAACAGGATTAAGAACAAATGTTTCCATGGGTTTATCTTTACCACTCTAACACGTCTTTACAGGTCTGTTTACAAAGTCAATCAAATAGCTTTTGTTGGGCATATGACTCTATTTCTCCCTTATACGTTGGCTATCTTCTTGTTATTTTTAAATCATTGATTTTACAATATAAGTGTTGTTCTACAGTAATTGCGAATTGTGCTCTAATTATAAATCGTTCAGATCTCTCAATGATCTGAGACAGGTGCTAACTGTGCCTCAACGGTCGAAACTAAACACAATTAGCCATCATCCATATATATGCCCCACTTCTCCGGAGCAAAGTATGTACTGTAGTATAAGAAAAACTGATGACACTTTTTTTTTTGCCACTGCACTAAATTAACCATAATTTGGGACTATTTATTTAAATATTGTCATTTGTATTCCTGTTTAATCTGTTATATTATCTTATTTTGTGCGTCTTTTAAATCAACCTATTATTTCCTTGTTTTTTTGTATTCATATGATGCCTTTAAATATTTTCTAAAGCAGTTTTCTTCTTGAATTTGAAACACTCCATTGCCCTTATATTACTCCCACCTCTAGAAGCTGCTTATAATATTATCAATTTTCTTTCCTGTGCAGATTCCCCAGGTGAGCTACGCCTCCACAGCTCCAGAGCTCAGTGACAACACCCGCTACGACTTCTTCTCCCGTGTGGTGCCTCCGGACACCTACCAGGCCCAGGCCATGGTGGACATTGTGAAGGCCATGCGCTGGAACTACGTCTCCACTGTGGCCTCGGAGGGGAACTACGGAGAGAGCGGCGTTGATGCTTTCATTCAGAAGTCTCGGGAGGACGGTGAGTACACTCTGCCTCATATATCATTACTGCACAGCACCGGGCGTGGGAAGGTATTACCCCTGACAACGGCTCTATTGTAGACATTTGGTGAAGCTCAGAGACAAGCAAGCAAAAATCAATCAGCGAGGTCAAATGTTAAATTTCATCCTAGGGAATTACATAGCTGGAGGTTGATTACAATCTCAAATGTGTACTATCACTGGAAATACAGAGGACTAAAATAGGCAATGTTTTTTGTTTTACAACAACACATTTTCGTAGGATGTGAACGACTTTTAAGCACCATTAAATCCAGCCGTACACAACTTATTTTCTCACGTTCAAGCCTTTTTCTTTGGCTATGCAACGGAGGAAACAGTGGCAGTCTCCTGTCAGTGTCTAGACTAAATCTGCTCTCACAGTACTGCCATTATTATTATTAAAATGTATTAGTTTTTCCTTTTTGAACCAGCAAAGTCGCAATGTAAATACAATGAATTATTGTCTACATTTTCCTGGTCAATGGCAGCAAAAACATTTAGTCACAGGCACAGAACATAAGACTTTAACCCCAAATAGGCCACAAAATCATCATTACAAATAAATGAAATTATCTTGAATGACACTCATTATTCTTACCTACATGGAAAAAAGAGATTACAGTTTAAGTCCAAGCAGGATTATGCACATTATGTGATGGTTTAGCTGGTTATAATGGGGAGCTTTGTTCTGTCAGAGTGAAGTCAGATGACAGCTGATGAATACAGTGTTTATTGTCGTGTTGCTCTGTGTCAGCTGGATGTGTAAGTAGGCAGCTGTTTGCAGCAATTAGCCTTAACAACATGATAAATGACTTTATGCAAGTGTAGCGATGGAGTGAGATTTATTTTGAGTTTTTATGTCACCTAGTGTTCAAATATTGCTCATTACACAATGTGAAGTACGCAAAAACACATTTGCACCATAAATTAGGATTAATGAGGATTTCTTTGAATCTAGAAATGGTTTTGATTTAGATCTTTTACAAGCATAGATCCCAGTTTAGATTCAGTTTCAGAATACTTTATGGTCCATTACGTTTAAATAAAACATAAAATTGTGATTGGCACTGGTAAATAAAAGAACACACACAAAAAATAAATTGCATTTTAGAGTGACTAAGTGGTTGTCATAATAAAAGTGCTGAGTGGTTTGTTCTTCCACTTGCAGTAAAACAAGTCTAACCCAAAGATCTGACCTCAATCAACTTCAGGCTAGTTTACAGGTCAACCACCTCTATTTTACTGCAGAAAATCCATAAATATTACACGAAACAAGATTTTTCATTTGGCTTACTGTACAAGGCTTTGGATCCTTTTCCTTCTGCGTTTACCTCAATCAAACAAATTACTCCACTGAAGGATTTCCCAAGGAGTTTGAGTGTTTCGGTTGGCAAAGTACGAGTGTAATTAAAAGGATGAGGCTTTCAGGTGCCCCGGTCATGTACTGAGCCGGGACAACTTGGCTGCGGCTGCTCATCAATTATCTCTGTCACTAAATCACCTGGGCACAAGTCAGGGACTGCTGAGCGGTGGAGAATAAGTGATGCTGGCTAAAAACATGTTAAGGATTTTATCAGGGCTGGGGAAATCAAAAAAATGCATGTCTCTGCGAATTGAGATCTGTCCAATGTTTCGAATACATTATTTGATCTTGGGGTGTGTCTCCATGGTCATGTATTACTCAGAGATCATGTTCAAAGGCAATCTATAGCATCTCTAAATGATGAGTTGATCTCCAAGGAAGATCTCAAGAAGGGTTATTCAATAAGGAAGTTGTATTGCTTCAAATACCTCTTGGACCAGTTTTCTAATCATGGAACTCATTGCTGTCTGGAGAAAATGAACACACATACATGAACATCACTTTTTAGGGTTCCACTTTACAATAAGACTACCCTTATAAAGGATTCATAAAGGGTTTATAATTAGGTTATTAACAGGTTGTAAACACTTTATTAATCATGAAAGGTCCCATGTCATGGCCATTTCTACTGATCATAATTCCATTGTTGAGGTCTACTAAAATAGATTTAAATTGTGCAATTTTCCAAACTCACATTGGCTTCTCATACAGCATCTCTATATAGTATGTGTATTCACTCTCTCCTAAACGGCTTGTTGGAGCTCCTGCCCCCCCCCTCCCCCCTCCCTGTGAGCCCACTCTGATTGGTCGGGACGTTGCGAGGCTCGCTGCTCACTGAGCTGGCTTACTGGTGTGGTTTCCGGGTCGGCGATACAGAGAGACATCGCGAAACTCATCCTGAGCACACACAAACACTCACAGCCGAAGTAAAAACAATAAGTGTGGCTTGATATTGAGTAAGAACAAGTTTTATAAACGCTGTGAGAATGGGTCTGCGGAGAGCATTTCTCCGCGATCCCAACTCGTCTATTACCAACCAGGGGACTCCTTGTTAGTTGAAAATGTACACTAAAGGTCCCCACCCCTCCTGGTGTGTGAGGAGCCCCGCGGATTGGTCCATTTTGGTTCCAGGAACCGCATGACGTCATGCGGTTCAAATGTAAAATGAGAAATCTCCAACGAGGCGTTCTGGGGCAGCATAGACAGGTATTTTCTGTGTTAGAGATTTACTCGCTACAGGGTGTACTTTGAGGGGTTTTGACTGCACACCGTTTACATGCATAAAAACCTTCATAACACACAAGGGGACGGGTAATAACCAGAAAAGCATGACATGGGACCGTTAAGAACCATTTATAAACCAGTTCTAACATAGTTTTCATACATCAACACAGGCTCACTATTTGGCAAGAGGACTAAGCCTTATATTGGCTACTTAGCGAGAATCAACTCACTGAACCAAGGATGCTGGCTGATGAAGAAGACGAAGTAAGCTAGGTAGCCAATATAAGACTTAGCAGTACAGATAAATGTGGGCTCACTATTTGGCAAGCAACCGGTCACAGTTTCCCTGTTTATCTCATGTCTCATAAAAGCTTATTAATAATTTATATAGTGTTCACAACCTAATTAATAAATGAATTACAAACTATTCGTAAACCCTTTATAAGGGTAGTCTTATTGTAAAGTGGTACCATTTTTAGATGTAAGGCTTTTTTAAACCGACAATTATGAAGAAGTAATACCTAAACACTTACTGAATACATGCATCTTCTTCAAAATAGAAATTGTGTTCATCCCATTAATCAGTTTGAATCATTGTTGCCAGGAAATATCCCTGTTATGCATATTGGACTTCAGAGATTCTCCCTTCAAGGATTTAACCACAAAGATACATAGAGCCCAATCAAATCATTCACAAGATTAGCAAACATGATGTGAATATAATCAACCATTTCTCCTCCCACACTCAATGCATACATTACCCGAGTTATCTTATGTTAGGTCTGTTTGAAACTTTCAAAAATATTTAATTTATCTCCAAATGAAAGAAATGTTTGAATACTGTATGCCAGGGGTGTCAAACTCAAATACACAGTGGGCCAAAATAAAAAAATGGGTACTAGTCGAGGGCCGGACTGGTTCAATGTTTATAGCAACACTTATTGAAATGAACTTATTGCACATATTAAACCTGGAACTAACACAGCTTAAATTATTGCCTATAAAAACAACATTAAACATTAAATAATCAGTTGCCTTAATTTCTTATGGCTCTATCTGCAGCTTTTCCGGAGTCCTTTCTTATGATTACATTTTTCCACAGGCCAACAACAGCTTAAAAAAAACGATTTCCCTCAAAGAAAAACCAAACATGCCCTGATGTCGTGAGAAAAAAAGTGCAGAAGGAAACATTTAAACTCAGTGTGCTGCTCTGTGATGCTAGTTCAAGCCAGATACTTGGCATCTCATCTTGGGTGCTAGTTCATCAATGTTTGGGCTCAGGCTCTGAGCGGAGGAAATCCTCAGGATTGAGTGAAGGTGTGCGTGCAATATACCGGCGGGCCAGATCTAATAGTAATTACAAATTATCCTGCGGGCCGGAATTAAATCCACCAAGGGCCTGATTTGGCCCCTGGGCCTTGAGTTTGACACATGTGCTGTATGCAATCAGAGGAAATGCATTTTCAAATCATTGAATTGAGTTCCACTAAAATAATAATTAGTTGCTTTCCAATTTGCTTTACCTTGTAAACTATTGGCAGTAATATTATTGTGTTTTCTTGTCAAATCATCTTCTCTTTATGTTGAACAGTTTTTCATGTTTAGAATTTTGTATGCCTTTGACTTGACTCAGGCTTTGTCAGGGTCTTCATCTTCATAAACAAACATCCATTCAATGTTTGTTCCAGCACTGAGTGGATAAACATCTTTTTCAAAACAAAATGTTTTTTAAATCAAAGTAATTTGCTCTGAAAAATCAACAGATATTCGTATTTTGAAATGTCACTGCCAAGTGATTAGAATTGAGTTGGATATCTTAATTTAAATGTTCTCCCATAGTATTAAGACAGCTAATCTCTTGACTGTGGTAAGATTGTATGCTAATATATATATATATATATATATATCAGGTCGTTTTTTTAAATCTTTCTTCCCTGGCACACAGTGGCCTCTGATGTTCCCGTTGTTGGGGTATTTGAGGGCGAGCAGCTTCTGTTCTCTCATGTTCTGTCCCAGGATGTCCCCTCTGCTGGAGGGAGCAGCTGTAGGATAGAGAAAGAAATCCCTTTGATTTGTAAAAAGATTAGATGAAAATGTGTCTGTTGTACTTCAAAAGTCTACCCTATTGGCAGTGTTATACATTCAAATTAGAGTGTTTTCCTATCTATGTCCATGCTCTAATTATATTTAAATAGTGCGGAAATCAAAGCAAGCAGCATGAGCACTTTTATCCCCAAAAAGCAGGATCACCTCAGTGATGTATTTCTGGCTTTTATGGACATAATATGCTTTATTTGTTTAATTTCAAAGGGACTATTTGCTGAAATACACACACAGTTTCAGAGTTAGAATTTTCACTATGGTCATCTGGGGTCTACTTTGTGGTCTCT